AACAAAGGAACTGCCAGGATGCAATAATATACAGTACAACAGATAAGTGTAACCCCTCCCATACATAAGCATGCCACAATAAATTTGACTGACATGTACTGTCAAATGACTATATTACGTACGGAAGTATGACTACGAATACATAAAATAAATGCGTTTAAATTAAAACATCAGCAAGGAAAAAAAGTTCAGGCTCAGGAATTTTTTCCACTATTAGCCCTGATTACTTTGTTACATTGGTAAAAATGCTCAGTGAAATGGGATAATAATAATAATAATTCGTTACATTTATATAGCGCTTTTCTGGGCACTCAAAGCGCTTTACACAATGGGGGGGAATCTCCTCATCCACCACCAGTGTGCAGCATCCACCTGGATGACGAGACGGCAGCCATTTTGCGCCAGACCGCACACCACACACCAGCTGATTGGTGGAGAGGAGACAGAGTGATGATATGCCAATCATGATATGGGGATGGTTAGGAGGCCATGATGGACAGAGGCCAGTGGGCAGATTTGGCCAGGATGCCGGGGTTAAACCCCTACTCTTTTTCGAAGGACATCCTGGGATTTTTAACGACCACAGAGAGTCGGGACCTCGGTTTAACGTCTCATCCAAAAGACGGCGCTCACTGAGCAGTATAGAGTCCCCATCACTATACTGGGGCATTAGGACCCACACAGACCGCAGGTTGAGCGCCCCCTGCTGGCCTCACTAACACCACTTCCGGCAGCAACCTAGCTTTCCCAAATGGTCTCCCATCCAGGTACTGACCGGGCGCAGCCCTGCTTAGCTTCAGTGGGCGACCATGTGAGAGTTGCAGAGAGCTAGCTGCCAGCATGTACTGGTGTTAAAAAATAATATTAAGCTTTTTTGCTGTTTCATAAAATGTTTTAAAATGTTTAAGCAGCTATTTTTTTAAGTGTATGCATCTGGTAGGACATTGTGATAGTTTAAAACTTTCATCCTCTAAAAAGGTGACAATGTAATTTTTTTTTTAATCTTTCAATGTGTGTTTGTGATAAAATGTTACAAGTATAAAAGTACAATTATCGTGCAGTTTGTACTTATGGAAAAATATTGCTTTTTTAATTCTTTTTAATGATGTAATGTTTAAACATTCATCCTGTAAAAATGTTGATATTTAATGTTTAATAAATGTGATAAATGAAATTTAATGTGTATGGAGTACAATTCTGAAATGAAAGGGTACAAAATTCATCCCTATGGAGGAGAAATTGTACCTTTTTTAAAGGTACATTATTGTACCATAGCCCAAGTAAGATACAAATTAGTCAGCAGAGGTACATATTTGACCCATTAAGGTACAGACTGCTAAGGTACAAATATGTACCCATGTGAAAGGGTACAACAGGTGTACCCTTAAGGGTACTGCCCCAGTGACAAGCCATTGTACCCCAAAAGGTACAAATTTTGCACATTTTTTCTGACAGTGTAGGGACATCAAAAAAATGATATTTTTGATTTAACTACATTTTTGTATTCATTAAAATTTAGGCTGTAAGAAATGAATGTTGGTCAAGCTCCTCCACTTTTTACAAATAACATGTAAACAGAAAAACAGCAAACAACCCTCAAATTGTGTCAACCCTGTCATGGACAAATTCATAGTATAAGTGTATTTTCATTGCAGTGTGATTATTAAATGTGTATTTTCAGAAAGGTCATGTGTCCCTTTACCAACCCAACTTTATAGATTCTAGAAAAAAAGTCTATTTATAATAATGAAATAATGGGCAAAACATTGATTTCCAAATAAAATATGTAATCATTCTTTTCAAAATAAAACCCAAGATCTAAAATATTTTGTCAAACTTTCCAACAATATTAACTTTTTGGTTTATTAAGAAATCAAACAAGATATTTTGCTGAGGTTATAAATAATTTATTTTTTTAACATGACTGGAAAACAAGATGATAGGGTGGACATTGACTTGACAGGGTGGACAAAGGCTTTATTTGGTGAACTAAATATGGAGGAACATTTAAAAAACAACAGGAATAAAAATAAATATTAAAGGGTTCAAGGATTGTAAAGGTTTTCAATAATTCAACTGTTTTCAGTAATACTGCAAACCACTGAGCCACCATGCCACCTCATCTGTTATCAATTAGGTTTTAGCAATATACAGATAAATGGAAAATAAACAATTATTGTCCTTCAAATTAAACTAAATTTGCTAATGAATGTAAATCTTTATATTGTTCATTGTACTGGAGGAGTGAAGGGAATGTTGGAAGCAAGTCAAGTTAAACACCTTAATAATCCTGTTTTATTTTTCAGAATAAGGTAAACTTCACTTCTACTGTAATTAGATTACAGATCTTCACATAAATCTACAAATACTCAGGGCTGTAGTTTTATTTCAATCAGTCAATGAGCTTCATTATATGGACTTTAAAAGGATATCCTTTGTAAATACTGAGACAGATATTGCCAAAAGGTTTGTATTGTCCATTTATGCATCTACTGGTGTAGTGTGTGTGTATGTGTTGTAAGTAACATAAAAACATTCCCTAATTAACAATAAAATAGTAAATAAATAAAGTGTCAATAACAATGCATATGTCTGCCCTGTCAAGGAAGGATTTGTGACAATGACATGAAGACATTTTTGGCTACAGATATCATTTATTGAACACATGCTGTACCTGCAGCTGGTAAAGTGTTTCCATTTAAGCTCTTTGCACACAGTTTAACAGCTGTATTTTAATCTCTAAATTAAAAGAAAAATAAAATAATATTTTACCCTGACAGGGTGGACATGTTAAGCTTGACATCATTCATTTTCGAACACAACATGAGGAAAAATAGCAAACATTAGTGTAGATATTTACTGTGGGCACATCAGATGTTTAAACCTCCTCTGAAGAAAAGCAAAATGGGCATGGGCATGCCAATGAATACATCAGAGGGGTCTTAAAGGGGCATTTACCACATTATGACAGTGTAGACAGCAAACTCAAGGACACATGCAAAACAATTAATAATATTATGAAAGCTAAATAAAAGTGATTAAAATTACTTTTTTTGTGAAATAACTTGTAAAGACAATAAACATATTTACAAATCTTTTTAATTTGATCTAATTTATCTACCTTGTAGACTCACTGAAGTTGGCTCAGCAGTGTGTGGGACATGGCAAAACCACATCCATTCAATGACAGAATATGGCAAAAATTGACAAAAACATTTTAAAACACTCATAATTCTACCTGCATGTGTGTTAAAGTTTAACAATTATATCAAAACATCAGAATTTCATCATTGTGCATTATGCCCATAAAAACCTTACTATTTTGATAATTGTTGTTTAATGAAGTGTAAGATGATGGTATAAAATAATTTTCTTCAATATATAGATTTTAAACGTGTATGTATGGCCCCTGACTTTATTCACAACACTCAGTGCGGCCCTTACTAAGTTTGGATTTGACACCCCTGGTTTAGTGGATTTAGTCAGAACTGAGTTGTGGGCTGCTCATATGCAAGCTATTGTTTTCAGTCATTCTTCTTACACTTGATACAGTTAACTCACACTGTATACAGAAAGTACATTCCCTTTAATTTTGCACTTAAATATTGCTGGTTATTTTTGATGATTGAGTTTTTTTGTAGATTAAGATTTGATACTTTTTTTGGTGCAACCAAATGTTTGCAGCTGTTTCAACTGTCAAATAGGCTCGGAACTGTTCAAATGTTTTAATGGTTAATTTTTCATACATGTACACGCAGTACAAATATTTGACAATTACATAAAGTAAAACAATCACTTTAATTTTTCACTGAAAGTTTTCTTGATTTTTACCAACAACTGTTTACATTTAATTGTACAAGTTGCATCTACCCTGAAATAAACGTCTGAACGATTAAAATGTGTTCCTATAGAGATAGTTTACTAAAAAAAGAACATTTACTCGTTATTTACTCACTCCTCAAGTGTTTACAAGCATCTGTGGATTTATTTCTTCTGTTGAACACAAAAGAAGATAGTTTGAAGAAAGCTGGAAACCTGTAACCATCGACTCCCCCCCAAAAAAAAGAAAACATTCTATGAAAGTCAGTGGTTACAGGTTTCCAGCTTTCTTCAAACAATCTTCTTTTGTGTTCAACAGAATAAATAAACAAGTAAAGAGTGAGGAATTTGACAATTTTAATTTTTTCTGTGAATTTTTTCTTTTGAGTTTGTGTTTCTATACAGTTGGGTGTTGCATTATTGTCAACCTTTCACACAGGCCATAAGTGAAACATTTGAACAATTTTGCAACATTGTTTTATTGAAATGGTTTTAATGTGTTTGTTGCACCACATTGTAATGTTTAGTTAAGTACTCATGCATTAAACAACACAACCTCCATATATTCTGTTAAATGTTTTTTTGTGGAGAATTCAAGATGGAGTAGGCTACTACACTGAAAAAAAAAATATTTATTGGATTTACAAAAAGTGGTTGCAAACAAATAGTTTGGGCTGAATTTAAACAAACAAATTAAGTTAAACATGACTAAATTTAATTAGTTTGTTTATATTCAGCCCGTATAAATTGTTTGCATTTTTGCTTTGCATTTTTTTATGGGCCAATAAATAATTTGCACATAAAAGTCTGCTTTAATTTAAAAGAAAATTCAGAACTTCTAAAATCAATTTCACTTAAAGCTCTGTAGTGGTGCAAAAAGCCTGACAGCCAGTGGACCATGTTAAAATTATTAAAGGTTCATTTAGCATGTATAGAAAAAAACATGAGGAATACTGTTCTAGCATTTGTTTGAAGCAAAAATGTACTACTTAAGTTGAATATTTAATAAAGAAAATACCATAAAAAAATCAGTTTTAATAAAATGTTTTATTTCAGGTATAACCAACACAATCTCACAGCAATTCGTAACTTTTTGATTTAGTGGCTAATTTGTATGAATTTGTACGATCTAATTTGTACAATTTAGTACGATTTGCTCATCCCCCAATGACGGTTGGGTTTAGGGGTTATGTTAGGTGCCACGCCTATTTTTTAAAATCTTACAATTTCGTACGAATTAGCCACTAAACTGGCAAAATGTAAAATACTTACGTTTTCTCATGAGATCAGGCTGGGTATAACACAACATACAGACAACATGTCAGTTTACCTGTAAAAGCCTTTAGTTTATATTTTAAACATACCTCCCCTTTAAACTCTTTTAAGGTGAAATAAATGAAAATTCTATTACTTAAAACTTAACAGTTTAAACAAAATTATTTGACTTTTGAATAACAAGACTATTTCTTCTTAAACTCGCTTCCTCTGTTTCATTTGCATTCAGGTTAGGTCTGAAAGTAATGACAGAACACCACAGAAGTGTTTAAAATCATGCAAAAATGTACTAATTACTGTAGATGGGAAAGATGTTTAAACATTTAAAAAATAGTCATAAAAAATTTATTTATTTTTGTATAAAGTGCATCTTGATGCATTTTTATTCTTATCTCATCTAAGCCTGCTGGCCTTCTTTTGCACACGAGGATGGGATGGTCTGGAACAAATTATTCATTCTTTCAGAAAAAACAAAGTAACATCACTGTAATTGTGTGTCATTACACACAAAGAACTATATTAGAGGTTATTCACTTTAGCTTGAGCACTGTCGGACAGACAAGGGATCCTGAACAGAGCCAATATGGACAATTAGTATTTTTTAATAACTATAAACAAATTTTTGAATAACACATCTTTGCATATAAGACTACTTGTTAGTGGTAGATAGCTAACACATGAACATTTTTAGCCTATCAAAAAAAAATCAGACTTTATTTAGCATATAACATGCTTTAATTGATACATGTATAGTTGTTTAGCCTGCTTTATCATAGCAATCTATGTGTGTGTGTCGACCTGCTCTCTGAAACATCTGGAATTCTCTATATTCATTATTGAATCCTAAATTTTCAATATTGCATTACACTATCCTTAAACACAACAGTCAACAGTAGTAGTTTAAGTCATAGTGTATATGTTTTTGAAGTTTTTCCCCTTGTCAGTTAAAAAGTCCAATAACTGAGGAGATTGCATATAATAATTTGAGAGATTTAAAGGAGGGAAAGCTGTCCCGGGGGAGAGTCCTAAGCTCATAAGATCCCCGAGCCCTGGGCTCCCTTCTGCAAGCAGGGCGTGAGGGGAGTTTGAGCTCAGGTAATTCTTGATAAACTCCCCCGACTCGTTTCTGTTCAACTGACAGATATAGAGATGGCTAAAGAGAGCTATATGGCTTACTAAGAGCTCGACTATGGTGCCAATGTAGAATGTTCAGTTTAATTAGATCGGACTGTGGGAGGAACCTGGGGAAAACCTACGCGAGCACAGAGTTAACGAGCAAACTCCACACAAAATGTTAACCGGTTCAGCAAACTTTAACCTTTAACATTCTTGCTTTGAGGCAACATTGCTAACGAAGGGGTCACCGTCTTTCGGATGAGACGTTAAACCAAGGTCCTGACTCTCTGTGACCATTAAACATCCCATGGCACTTCTCGTGAAAGAGCAGGGGTGTAACCCCGGTGTCCAGGCCAAAGTCCCTCTATCGGCCCATATGATCATGGCCTCCCAATCATCCCCTTCCACCGAATTGGCTCTATCACTGTTTCTCTACTCCACCAATAGCTGGTGTGTGGTGAGCGCACTGGCGCCGTTGTCCTGTGGCTGCCGTCGCATCATCCAAGTGGATGCTGCACACTGGTGGTGGTGTGGAGAGACCCCCCTCATGATTGTGAAGCGCTTTGGGTGTATGGCCATACAAAATAAATGCGCTATATACAATAAATACACATTACATTACAATCTAGAAGGAGGGGGAGTAGGGGTGGGAGGGGAATTTCTCAAGACAAAGATAACCGAGGTAAGAAACTCTTATATTTATAGTGAGTTAGGAATCATCTGATTGGTGAATTATGTTAGCTAATGCAGGACCAGTTGTGGACAATCATAAACATGTGAACCTCTCGAAAGTAATTTATAGAAAGTAATTTACCAGTGTTTGTGTGGACAAGGCCTCAATTTTGAGGACTCTGCTCTCCATTGTGAAGCTTCATGTGAGTGTTGAGGCTTCTTTTATGTTTAAAGTCTTTTCCACACTCACTGCATCTAAAACGATCCTCTCCTGAGTGAGTCTTCATGTGTTTCTTAATGGAGTCTTTGCGGGTGAGACTCTTTCCACACTGATCACATGTGAACACTATGGTTCTAGTGTGACGATTCATGTGATTCTTGAGGCTAGCTTTGGTTGTGAAGCTCTTTCCACACTGAACACATGCAAACGGCTTCTCTCCGGTGTGAGTTTTCATGTGATAATCAAGTGCCTTTTTACATATGAAACTTTTACCACACTCTGTGCATGTGTAAGGTTTCTCTCCAGTGTGAATCCTCATGTGGATGTGAAGGCTTTGTTTTTGAGAGAAACTTTTCCCACACTGTGTGCAAGTAAAAATTCTCTCTCCAGTGTGTGTTCTCATGTGGTCTTCAAGGGTGCCATTTCGCTTAAAACTCTTTCCACACTGAGGGCAAGAGTAAGGCTTTTCCCCAGTGTGAATTCTCATGTGTGCTGCAAAGTTTCCTCCATGATGGAAGGTTTGTCCACACTGTTGGCATGTGTATGGCCTCTCTCCAGTATGAATTCTCCTGTGCACTGCAAAGTTTCCTGCATGATAGAAGGTTTGTCCACAGTGTTGGCATGTGTACGGCCTCTCTCCAGTGTGAATTCTCATGTGGGTTTTAAAGCCTTGTACATAACCAAAACATTTTCCACACTGTTCGCAGGTGTAAGGTTTCTCCATAGTGTGAACTTTCATGTGAATGTCAAGGTTCTGCTTTTGACTGAAACTTTTTCTACACTGTGCACAGCTGAAAGGCTTCTCCCCAGTGTGAGTTCTCATGTGCACCGCAAGGCTTCCTGCATAATAGAAGCTTTTTCCACACTGTTGGCATGTGTACGGCCTCTCTCCAGTGTGAATTCTCATGTGGGTTCTAAAGCCTTGTATATAACCAAAACTCTTTCCACACTGTTCGCAGGTGTAAGGTTTCTCTTTAGTGTGAACTCTCATGTGAATATCAAGGTTTGACTTTTGACTGTATCTCTTTCCACACTGTTTACAGCTTAAAAGACATCCAGATTTGGGTTTCTGAGGTCTTCCACGTGAAGTCTTTTTAGTCAGTGTGGGTTTTTCATTAGTCATTATCTCTTGGGGTTTCTCTAACTGCTGTTTCTCCTCCATTTGATCAGTCTCTTCTTTCAGCACCACCAGGTCTAAAAAAAAAAGTGAACTTTTAGTATGAAGGCCCAAAGGAACAAGCATGAAATGGATGTTTCACCCACAAATGAAAATGACCTTACCATTTACTCTGTGTTATGCAGTTTTTAACTTTTCCTTTTTTCTGGAACACAAAGTAAGCCAATCTCTGCGTTTTCATCTTCTTTTGAGCTCAACAGGATCAAGAAACTCATAAAGGTTTAAAACCCACACGAGGGAGAGTAAATGGTGAGGCTATTTTCATTCCTGCATCAACAATCCTGTTTAAAGGGTTCTTATTATGAACCTTTTTACAAGATATTAAAGGTTTTGGCTCAAAATCAGATCATGTACCTTGCAGAATATTTCATTTTGGGGGTCAGAAGAAAACCAAGCTCTTTTTGTGCCTGTGGCTTTAAATGCAAACAATCAAATGAACTCGCTCTAAATTAACCTTGTTCATTCAACTTCCACTCCATTTAAACATTTTTAACTTGCTTGGAAGACACGATTGAGACAAATCCTGCATGTTCATAGCAAGTGTGCATAATTGACGCTAATATTTTTGAGTTTGCATTATTGTACATAACTTACGCAAATGTTCCCAATACTGGGTTGCAGCTGGAAGGGCATGCACTGTTTAAAGCATATGCTGGATAAGTTGGTGGTTCATTCCGCTGTGGCGACCCCTGATAAATAAAGGGACTGAGCCGAAAGAAAATCAACAAATGAACTTACGCAAATGCTTAATGCAACGTTTGCTTTAACTGGAGTGATGAGGAGATGGCGAGATGACATACTTTGTTACTTGTTTTCATTCATTTGTATTTTTGTCTTTGTTTTATTGCCTTTGTGCATGTCCTGAGGCTTAGCTGAAGACCTACATGATGACATTTTATATACCTGACAAAATGTAGAAATGCTATCAAAAAAGGTTTCCTGCTGTTTGTCCAATCAGGGACAGTGGCAACGTAAATATACAAATAATAATGGTAACTCGGGGTTCGCAAATGTGAAACGTCTGTTAATGAACACCCCGGTTTATATTTTAACCCCAGGTAAAGCATGAGCAGTATGGAACATGTTACATGCCAGCACTTATTTGATTATTTTGTTTATTTTTTGTGTCTCATCATGTGTTTCTGTTTGTCACCCAGTCCACTTCTGTGCTTGCTCCGCCTACACTCATCTCTGATTGGCTGTTTCACTTGTTCTTGCTGCAACCAATCCCATCTCTCCTGCTACCTGATTGGTCATCACTCTGCCCAAGCTCCAGCCAATCCCTGCATGCCACCTGGCCTTTAAAAGGCCTTCAGTTTGTTAGTTCTAGAGCAGGAAAATACCTCAAACATGGAAAGAAGCAATGATAATACCTATACATAAACCAGGAAAAGATTGGACAAATCCAGGAAGTTACAGACCAATTGCTTTAACATCTAATATTAGGAAAATAATGGAGAAAATGGTGAATGAAAGATTAACGTATTATGTAGAAAATAACAAATGTATTTCTCAATACCAGAGTAGGTTTAGGAGGGGAAGAAATACAATGGATCCAGTTGTGTGCCTTGAACATGACATTAGAAAAGCACAAATAAAAAGGGAGAGTGTAGTGGCTGTTTTCTTTGATATAGAAAAAGCTTATGATATGATGTGGAGAGAAGGTTTATTAATTAAACTATGGAAGTTACGCCTGTTTCACACCGCAAGCGTCAGCGGCGCGTGAGCAGCGCGTGAGCAGCGCGTATGTCGAGCAGTAGCAGCTCGCAGGCGTTTGCCTTTCACACCAGCTGCGTCTGCAGCGCGCAGCTCTTCGCAGCTGCTGCAGAGATCAACCTATCTCTGTCTATTCTATCTAATTACCCATGTCTCTCTATATACAAATACACTTTTCAAACTTCTCATCTGCACCAAGGCCCCTCCTATGCTGTTTCTTTAACCGGCAAATGTTTATTTTACAAATTCTATAGATCAAATAGTGCTGTATGCTTCTCAATCTAACTTATATAAGAAGCGTCTACAGTCAGAAGACAATCGCCTGTGATATCATGTCATTTGTTTTTTATTATCAGGTTGCTGTAGACCTAGTTATAATAATATTTATACAATATAGTTATAATGATATTTATACATGATCAAACTAGTGTTACTTTCTCCGCTTCAGTGATGTCCAGCGGCAGAAAAACAGCTCGTTAATTCATGCTCGTGCAGAGGATGAGACGGACGAAAGTAACCAATGCATGCCATTCTTTTACTTATTTTCGTGTTGTCAGGTTCACAGTGCAATTTGTGCAAACAGCTCCCGGTAGGAATAACTCGAGTGAACATAAAACAAAGCCGATAAAAACTTTCTTGCTCTGCTCAGCTGCACAGAACACAGCGAGCTCACATCATCCAGCATGCGTGTCGAACTACACTACCCACAATACACTTCGCTATGGACTACAATTCCCGTAAATATTCTATTTCCCCTCTCCTACAACACTAGTGTGCAACTTAAGCAAAACTGATACTAAAATTGTTTTACATTTGGTTTTGTAGTTCGGGCCTAAATAAATGTTTGTTGCCGTTTTTAATCGTTTTAAGTTCATTTGAATGACTATATATAAACCATTTGACATTATTAACGCATTTATTGGGTAAAATTGCTACTTTTTACTGTCATTCAATGTGTTTTGGTCATTATCAATGCACTGTCACTTTAATTGTGCGTGAGCAGCGCGTCAAAAATAGACCCAGCGCCGAAACTATCGCTGCACTGCTGCTTCGGCGACGCTCACGCCTCGCTCTGATGCGCTGCTGCTGCGTGCGGTATGAAAGCTCTAATCTGTTAACATGGACGCCGAAAACACACGCGCTGCTCACGCTCTGCTCACGCGCCGCTGACGCTTGCGGTGTGAAACAGGCGTTAGGTGTAAAAGGACAAATGTATAAATGGATTAAGGAATTTTTAGAAAATCGAACAATAACAGTGAAAATAGGAAATCGTTATTCAGGAAATTTCACAGTCGAAAATGGAACACCTCAGGGAAGTATAATAAGTCCAATATTATTTTCGATAATGATAAATGACGTGTTTGAAGAGGTAGAGAGTGGGCTGGGAATGTCACTCTTTGCAGATGATGGGGCAGTTTGGAAAAGAGGAAGGAATATTGAATACATTGTTAGGAAATTACAAGAGGCTATAAATAATGTAGAGAAATGGTCACATAAATGGGGTTTTAAATTTTCAGTGGATAAAACAAAAATAATGTTTTTTACAAGGAAAAAAATCGGAGATGATATTAAAGTAAAATTATATAATCGAGAACTAGAAAGAGTTAAATATTACTATAAGAGTCGCGATTTCGATTTCATATCGTGTATCGTTACAGCCCTAATATTTGTTCTCTTTGATCTTTGCATATTTACAAAAATAGGAAACGTAAAATAAGTGTGTGGTCTCAAGGACTGCTTTGCTTTGCTTCAATTGCTGCATTTGTGGTGCTTAGTCCTGTTCTAACATTGCGACCTTGTGCTTTACACTGTGTGATTAGCTGGGGCCTGTCACCTCCGTGCCCCCCTGAGTGGCTGGTAGCATCTTATTTTGATGCTTCTGTGAGCCTATTTAATATATTTGCTTGTTGTATTTTTTTCTCTATTTTTTCTAATTGTGGTTTTTCTTCTTTCCCTAGGAGCTGGGGGTGTCTAGTACAGGCAGTCGGGCCGCTGTGTGGCGTGACTCTTTTTCTATTAATTAGTCTTTTGCCCACTTGTGTGCATTTAAGTTCACTGTGTGGTGTTTTAAATCAAAGTGTGCACGTGTGAATCTGTGGGTCATTTTTGGGCCCAGTGCCTAGCCTGCCCGACTGTGGTAAGCCTCAGCTCTGGTTGGATGAGGATTTATCTTTTTTTTTTTGTAATTGCCTCCACTAGTGCCTTTTTTAAAAAGAGTGCATGTGCCTGTCTTTTAATATTTGTGGTCCAAAGATAATTGAATTGTAATAAAAGAAACCCTATTTTTCTATATCCACGTCTCATTGTCTTTGCTAGAGGTATGAACCTGTATTTTATGTCCCAGCAAATGTACTGGGTGGTGTGGTAGAGCTCTAATTGCAATAGTTTGTGTTAATTTGGCTTTAGTGTGCCAGTTATTGTATTGGTCTTGCGACCAACAAAAAGCCTTATCCCCTCTGCGTGCCACATTTTTTAAATGTCTGGAAAAAAAAAAAAAATTCCCTTTGAACTAAAAATTTTTATTTGAGAAACTTTTAAAGTATTTTGAAGCAGTAAACATGTCAGGCAAGATTATTCTGATTAATCATTGACTTCTGCTTTCTTCATAAGTTACAAAAGCACAGATTTCTTTACGATTTAAAACTGCATCTATGGATATATTTTCTGCTGGAGATACTGTTGTCCTGAAAAACTTAAACCTTACACTCAAATGTTTGCATATCATCAGCATGCTGTAATCCATTTCTAACAGCAAAAGTCATTTTTAGACTAGTTTGTTGGCCAGTTGTAGTCAGTGCAATGCTAAACGTTATTGTTCCACTATAATTTGTTTTTGTCTCACGTCGTCCTACAACAACATCATATAGTTTAGAATACTGTACAATGTTTTATAATAATTAATTACTTTAGTGTCCATTTCATTCAGCATATTTTAAATTAGGAGAAACGACATTTTCTGACATACTTTAAACCAGGGTTTCCACAGGTTTCACCAAGTTAAATTTAAGACTATTAAAGACATTTTTAAGACTATTATGAATGAAAATTTAAACTCATGAAGGGCTACAAGGCTACGGAATGTTTCAAATGGCCCAGATGAAAACGATTTTTATTTGCCTTATCAAAAAAAATAATATATTTAATACATTTAATAATAAAGTAATAAATGAATAATAAAAAATTACAATATTTTAGATATTTCTTAGCAAAATATTTTAAATATTGTGAAAAAACAAGCTAGCTTTACTTGTATCCACACTATTTTTTTCCAACATAAACTTTGAAAAAATAATAAAAAATGAACATATTTTAAATGTTTTAAAAAATATAATGAACTAAATTACTTGTATCCACACACTTTTGTCTTTAAAATAAAATTAAAAAAAAAACAAATATTTTCAACGTTTTAAAAACTATAATAAACTAAATCTATGCGCAACAATCTGTCCAGGTCGATGTCCTCAGCAGTAAATACATGGAGCACATTTAAACAAATGTTATTGTAAGGAAAATAATTAAATCATTATGATAAATAGAGTTAAAATGACCTTTCTGAACAAAAGTTGAAAGTTTTATTGAGATGGATTGTTGGTGATTGTGTGGGTTTTGGCCAGATTACGAAGCAAAACATGAACAAAGGAAAATGAAGACTTGTTTAAAAAAGGATTCAAGACATACAACACAGTATTTCAGTAAATTTAGGACTTTTTAAAGCCTAAAGTTTTTATTTTGGAATTCACAATTTTTTTTATCTAGCGGAAATCCTTGTTTATACACAATAACTCTTGTAATTAGTTATTATAATAATGATGTAATTCTAACTCGGATACTATCTGTGAGAACTAGTAACAACTACTAGGAACAATGAAAAGTACTATGCCAACACTATCACTGTAATAGCAGATATCTTCTATGAGAATACATTTAATTTAATGTTTTTATATATTTTATATAGCTCCAGTTCTCAAGAACTCTTTACAAACAGTGGGGGTACAAGAAAAGCAATAACTACTAATTAAGAAGGTAGGAGACTAATAATACATAAAATAATGACAAAAGACCTGGGGACAAGTAACAAGAAAGAAACTCATTCCTGTCTTTCAATGAGTGCTTATGTGCGTTTAGGAGAACTAGGCAGCACACTCAGGGCTGCAAGATGGATTTAATTTAGTATTCTTATTATTAAAATATATCTGAATGAGGATTAAATGACTTATTTGGTGTTTGAGAATGAAAATTAACCTGTTTGTTCCTGCAGATCTTCCTGTTTGACTGTGAATGTGTCTTCAATCTTCACATCTTCACTCTCCTCTTTAATAAACGCCATCTTTATAACAGTGTGGAGATCAATCGCTTCAGCAGGAGTTTTCCCCTGTGTTTGGACACTTTATCCTGTTTAAAATGAACAAAACAATAAAAATGTCCTGTTTAAAATAAATAAAACAATGAACAGCAACAAAATAACTTCTCTTCATCACTTGCTTCAACAGTTTCTTTATAAGGAGCAAAGATAAATATATATAAACAAAAATAAATCAGGTAAAAGGTTTCATTAATACTTATTACACACTTTTCTGTTAACCCACTTTATTCAAACAATTGCCTGTAAATACTGAGAATAAAATAGCACTACGTTGTATAAAGGGTTAAAATAATATGTCCAACAGCAGGAACATAATTTAACATCGAATAAAAAACTAAAACTTTAGAACTTTAACTTTAAATAGGTTTATATCTGTAAACGTTTTAAAACAAACCTTTCTCCAGTTGAATCACAGCGCTGAAGCGGCGCCGTCTGGTGACGTCACACGCCGCGTCAAAATAAAAGTATTTCTTGGTTAGCTTTTTTTTCCATTTACTGTTGCAGTCATGACAAACCTTTAATGTAAATATTTTAAGACAAATGTTTAATTTATTAAATAGGATGATTTCACTTTATTCTAAGTATGTATAAGAAATGGAGTACTAGTTTTAATTAGCTCATTTGTGGCTATTGTTTCTTGCTCTGACTTACCGGATTTATTTTTGTTAATTACTCTCATATAAAGAGAAGTTATTTTGTTTCTGTTCATAGTTTTATTTATTTTAAACAGGTCATTTGTATTGCTTTGTTAATTTTTTACTGGGTAAAGTGTCCAAACGCAGAGAAAACCTATATATAATAAGTCATGACTAAGAGTAAGTGGCAAAAAAAAGGTTAAAAAAAGACTTTTATTTGAGCGTGGCTTGTGACGCCATAAGCCTGCGCCGCTCTCGCGCCGTGATTCAACTGGAGAAAGGTTTGTTTTAAAGCGTTTAGCTTTATATAAAGCGATTGAGTAAAGTTTCAGGCTTTTCATTTAGTGCTAAATTATGTACCTGCTGTTGACAATATTATTTTAACCCTTTATTCTACGTATTAATATTTAACGCACAGTAATGAGGTCTATTGTTTAAATAAAGATAAGATAAACCTTTTGTTCCCGAGAGGAAATTTGTCTTGGGCAAAAAAGTGCCATAAGCATACAATAATATAAATAAAACAAACAAAACAATTAAGAACATACCTGAAGAAAGTTTAAGTGAAGTAACAGTAAAGTGTGCAATAAGTGTTTTAATGAAGGTTTAATTTATTAAATAGCATAATTCCATTCATAGAGGTAAAGTTGGTTTTATATTCGCACATTCGTTCATTTAGAAGTCTCTATATTGTTTACCATGTTACTTTGAATATTCGATAGGAATTAGCATGCAAGTGTGACTTGAAAACAACATTAACACTGTTTATTTGACTGTGAACAATGTTGTACTTTGATAGTCATTGAGTGCTAATATGATTTCGCTATTTAGAGTTTGCAAATAATACTTTAAAGAAATTATATTATTAAGGGGAAAGTCCGAATGTGTGAATATAAAACCAACTTTATCTCTATATTCCATTCTAAGTATACATCACCATATAAAAGAAATGGAGATAGAGGTAAAGTTGGTTTTATATTCGCACATTCGTTCATCAAGAAGTCTATATTGTTTACCATGTAACTTTGAATATTCCATCAGATTTATTAGCATGCAAGTGTGACTTGAAAACAACATTAACACTGTTTATATGACTGTGAACAATGTTGTACTTTAATAGTCATTGGCTGCTATTATGATTTCGCTATTTAGAGTTTGCAAAAATTACTTTTTATGAAATTATATTATTAAGGGGAAAGTCAGAATGTGTGAATATAAAACCAACCTATCTCTATGAAATGGAACTAGTTTTTATCAGCTCATTTGTGGCTATTGTTTCTTGCTCGGACTTACTCTTTTATCTCATTTCTTTTTGGTAATGACTCTCATATAAAGAAACTGTTTAAGCAAGAGTTGAAGAGAAGTTATTTTGTTTCTGTTCATTGTTTTATTCATTTTAAACAGGACATTTTTATTGTTTTGTTCATTTTAAACAGGACAAAGTGTCAAAACACAGAGGAAAACTCCTGCTGAAGCGACTGATCTCCAAACTGTTATAAAGATGGCGTTTATTAAAGAGGAGAGTGAAGATGTGAAGATTGAAGAAACATTCACAGTCAAACAGGAAGATCCACAGGAACAAACAGGTTGATTTTCATTCTCAAAGACCAACTCAGTCATTTGATCCTCATTCAGATATATTTTAATAACAAGAATACTAAATTAAATTTATCCAGCCCTGATTGTGCTGCCTAGTTCTCCTAAATGTACATAAACACTCATTGAAAGACAGGAATGAGTTTGTTTCATCACTTGTTCTCATGTTTTTTTGTCATTCTTTTATGTATTATTAGTCTCCCATTTTCTCTACCTTCTTAAGGTCATTGCTTTTCTTGTTCCTCTACTGTTTATAAAGTGTCCTTGAGCACTGGCACTATATAAAATAAATAAAAACAATAAATTTAAAAAGTTTAACTGACATGAGGATGTTTGACCTACAGTATTCTCATAAAGGATATCTGCTATTACAGTGATAGTGTTTGCTTAATAATTTCCATTTGCATATGTCAATAATCACAATTCCAACTTCTTTATGGGTTTAAACTTGTTTCTAGTAGTTGTTACTAGTTCTCACAGATAGTATCTAGAATTACATTATTATTATAATAACTAATTACCAGGGCTAATTACTGGGTCTTAAAATGTGTTAAATTCCAAATTTCCTTACAATAACATGTTTAAACGTGCTCCATGTATTTACTGCTGAGGACATCGATCTGGACAGATTGTTGTGCATAGATTTAGTGGGTAAAGTAAAGATTGCTTGTTATTACACACAATTTAAAATCTTTTGCTAAGAAGTACCTCTATATTTTTTTTATTATTGTATAATTAAATTAATTAAATTATAATATATTTTTGATCGGTCAATTAAAAATCTAATCCATAATCCATAATTTTTAATCTCAATTAAAAATCTAATCCATCTGGGCCAATTGAAAAATTCTTTAGTCTTTAGCCCTTTATGAGTCCAAAATTTTAGTCATAATGGTCCTAAAGTGTTAAATTTAACTTGCTCCAAAATACTTTCAAAGTTTCTCAAAAAAATATTTTGTGTTCAAAGGGGAAAAAGTTTTTTGTTTTTTACCCAGACATTAAAAAAAAAAAAAAAAAAAATATATATATATATATATATATATATATATATATATATATATATATTTTAGAGCAGTAATCACAGTACAGTGAAAGCGTGATATTTTTATTCAAGGTTATCATACCAGCTAAATCTTATACTGGCTTATGCCTAATGCTGCTTGATGTTGCAAAGTCATACATTCATTAATTTGTTTTTTCGGCTTAGTCCCTTTATTATTCTGGGGTCGCCACAGCGGAATGAACTGCCAACTTATCCAACATATTATCCCATCTCTGGGAAGCATCCATACACACTTATTCACTCTCATACACTACAGATAATTTAGCTTTATCCAATTAATTTGCTTTAGACTGTGGGAAAAACTGGTGCACCCGGAGGAAACCCACGCGATCGCGGGGAGAACATGCAAACTCCCCACAGAAACGCCAACTGACCCATCCAAGGCTCGAACCAGCAATCTTCTTGCTGTGAGGCAACAGCATTATCTAATGCGCCACCGTGTCGCCTGTTGCAAAGCCATATTTCTAATTTTCTTGTTTAGAGAGCAAGTAGCTGTTTATTATTTCTGGTCTTTAACACAGTTAACTCCCTTCCTAGACCATAATTGGAATGCTGAATCCATAAGAGAGGGAGGGAATAACAGATTTAACAAAATGGGAGTAGAAGACAATGCTTGTTTATTATTAAAGTGAAGTCTGAATTGTGACCATATTCTGAGTGATCCATTAATAACTGGGTTATTTGTAAAATATTGTTTACTCCCTAGAATCGGGGCACAAAGTAGTGAGCGTAAAGACACTCGATTAGACGTGTGCTGTTCCATCAGTAACCAAAGTGGAGCCTCATCAATACAGATGTTGGAAAACCAGAATATCAGTTTGTGTAAATTGGCTGCCCAATAATATTAAAAGAAATTTGGCATTGCCAATCCTTCCTCCTTTTTTCTTTTCAAGAATTCCTTTCTTATGCGAGGAATTTTCTTATCCCAGAGAAAAGTAGAAATACAATTATTCAACTCCTTGAAAAATGACTTGGGAATAAAAACAGACACAGTCTGAAATAGAAACAGAAATCTTGGTAATATTGTCATTTTAATGGAAGTAATCATCCTAGTCAAAAGATAAAGGAAGGGTTGACCACGGCGCCATGTCTCGTTTGGCTTTGTCAAGACGACGACAAGGTTTGTTTGAGCTCGGGTCATCCATGGCTCGTTATTATATGCATATAGTATATCCTCGTAATTTCTCGGCTGTGTATTAGAACATGGCGGATCCTTTGTTTACATTCTGTCTAGCTTCTTGAGCTCGTGACGTATCTCTGTAACCAATCAGCGTTCGGCTGCGCGTGTAGCTCCACCTTTTGGTACCCTTTCTTGTTTTTGGTACCCTTTTGAAAACCGTACCACTCAGTGGAAAGGGGCCATAAGCTGACTGGATGATAAGATTCACATTTACTTATGACCGTGATGCCCTTCTCGCCATAAAAGAGGTAGTTATGGCTACTTTGTGCACTGTAAGTTTTAGCGAGACATATTCTACGAACAATTCCAACAACTCTGACGCTGTCCCCAACTACATCCCGGAGTTTTTTTGTCGGCGGCAGGTCTGCCTCAAACGTCGCAAATGGAGGAGGAAACGGGGTACCCGAGGAGGCTTCTACCAAAAGTTAAAAACATCTCTACTTGATGTTTTTAACTTTTAACTCTATGTGATGCCTTTGGCATCACACAA